GAACTAACTGCCTGGAGATACACATCGGATCCCGGATATCTTGCTTGGCATCTTGATTGGCGTACCGCGTGGATTCTGCATCAAAACATATAAATACCTCTTAAGGGCCACGCCAAAAGGTGATGGAAAAACCAACCTTAAACTCCTTGTTCCTTCGCTTTACAGGTAGCCCTGATTATTGCTTACTTAAGCATCGGAGTGTCTACCCCGAGATCCATCTCGGGGCTTTGCAAGTCAATCCGGAGTGCAGATACGGACTGAAGAAGGGCTTCCGGTTTGATGCAGTTACAACAATACACCACTGAGGGTGAGGAGAAGTTACAAAAATGAGATGGTTATTCTTGGCTCTTACGACCAGATGTGGTTTAATTTGCCTCATTTGATTTAACATTAATTAATCCATGGGGACGTATTAATTCACTGGTAACAGGGGCGCATCTTTCTCTAAACTAGAAGGGGTACGCATTGCTATTGGGTCTGTTCTTTTGACAGTGTTGATGATGCAATGCATTGGGGGTGGGTGTCAATTATTAATTAATCTGCCAAAGTTCTCTGATGAGCTTTCTCTGTTTGCTCTTGGCTTTGCCTTTAATATGTCAGTCCCCCATTTTACTAATTACATTAACTTTCAAATATATATATATATATATATATTTCAACATTCACATTCCACCGGCCATCCATCCCAAATTTCCCCAATCTGGAGGATTGCTGACATCGAATTTATAAGGGGTTGTTTGAAGTGTGCTCATAACCTTAATGAGGGAGAGGGCCTTTTCGGCCTCATTTTTAATTATTCCTTTTCCATTTGAATCCTTAATCCAAATTCACTTTAACCACTTCCACTTGTGTACAATTTGAAACCTCGTAAATATTCTTACAAAAATCTAATATAGTTATGATAGCTTTAATTATAGCATTTTTACTTGTGTAAAGTTTAAAAATCAAGTTTTTACCAATAAGAACTCAGAGTTTGATGAAACAATTAAGTAATTTTTCCGAACATTTTATTGGGAGTGGAAGAGTAAAGAGCCCCCAACTTACTGTACCGTAAAGTTTAAGGAGCCTAATGAACAATTTTGAAGAACAAGTATTATAATAAATAAGATTATATAATATAGGGACATCCGTTAACATTAACCCTGTACAAAACTCCGATTCATCAAAATCTATTTGGGGTTTAATAACATTAAGTGTCCTAGTATTACTACTGTCTCTTATTATTGTTATTGTTATTGTTAAATAGATCAATTGTTAGTATTTAGTAGTAAATGGAATTGGATTACAATGAGTATACTATTGTATTTTTTTTTTCTCAGACAAATATAATAACTATCTTGTTAGATAAGATTACTCCCTCCAATTTTACTATTTTTTTTTTTTTACTTTTTCACCAAATTAAGAATTTTAGAATAATTCATATATTTACTTATATTATTTTTACCCTATGTTTGGGTTAAAAGAAATGGAGGGGAGGGAAATTATATCATTCCATTCTCCCCTCTTTCTTTCCCTTCATTTGAATAAATAACTAAATTAAAAGAAAAAATAAAATAAAATATTTTTTTCCTTCTCTCTATTTCCCTCAATTCACACATGTTGTTAGGAAAAAATTAAAAGATAAAGTTAGATGTTTTGTGATAGGATAATTAATCAAGATAAATGAATAATGATATGGTTAAATTAAGAAAAAAAATTTATCTATTTTAAAAAATTTTAAAAAGATAATCAATTTGAGACAAATCTAAAATAAAAAAACTACAATTCTTTAAATGAAGTAATAGGCTTAATTTTTTTATTTAATAAAATAAATATATAATAATTTATAAAATTTGATATTTATCCTTAATTAATTATTATTTAAATAAGTCTTCTTATTTAATAAATGATATCTAAAAAAAATTAAAAAAAAAACTAAATTTAAACGCTTTAAATTAAAAATTAAGTCTATTGGAATTGAATAGGGAAAGTATATTTATATCTATTTTAATAATCCACGGGGCTTTATATTTTTTTTTCTTTTTTTATGTGTTATTTTACTAAATTTTATTAACCAAAGCCCCTATTTGCACCTTTCATTTAATTCTTTTCTGTTGTCAACACTTTCTAAAATTTTTCCTCCCTATTCACACTCTTAATTTTTCAAAACCCGTGAAAAACTCAATATTTTAAGTTGCCATCATGGTACCATGAATAACTGTTAAAAATTGTAATATGTGGCATCAAACAGTAACATGAACCTTATGTCATCTTATTAATCCAATGTGGATTTTTTTTTTATGATATGGCATAATTAAATCATAATTAATTTTAATTTCTTCATTTTCTTCTTTCCGGACATCATCTTTACCATCTTCCTCTTCATCCTCCTATGTTCCTCATGGAACCAGAAACTCAGGATGTTATGTCACATTTTTTTTTATAATGTGTTATAATTAAATTATAATTAATTTTAATTTATTCATTTTCTTCTTTCCTGACATCATCTTCACCATCCTCGTCCTCATCCTCCTGGGTTCTCGTGGAACCCAATTTCTGAGTTCCTTGTGGAACCCAATTTCACATAAATACCTACCAAGCTAAAATCTTCATCCACACAATTATAAGTAAATGAATACTGCACAAAAAACATGATATGCATCTTCTACCCCTTTCCCACAAAAAAATGAAAAAACTGTTATTGCCATTCATGTTAATCCCACTTGAACTCAAATTGGCAACCTGTTCAGAAACAATCTCCAAGCCAAAAAACTCACCTCTCCAACGAAAGAATTATTCCAAATTGTTTTGCATAAAATAGAAAACTAAGATAAATACATTCAAAATAAAAAAATGAAAAAAAAAAAATGGTCGAAACCTAGTTTATGGGTTCCTGCGCAGAACCCAGATCTCGGTTCCTGCGTGGAACCCAAATCTGGGTTCCTTCCTGGCGGGGAACCTAGTTCTGGGTTCCTGCGTGGAACCCAATTCGGCGCAGGAACTCATATTTGGGTTCCACGCAGGAACCCATTGAGAAGAGGATGGTGAAGATGATGCCGAGGATGAGGGGAAAAGAAAAAGATGAAGAAATGCCACATCATAAAAAAAAAAAAAAAAACAAAAAAAAGTCCACATTGGGTTAATTAGTTGATGTTACTGTTTGGTACCACATGTATTATAATTTTTTGTTGGTTTAAATGTACACATGACATTCACGTGTGCAGAAAATAAATCACATCATAAAAAAAAAAATCCACGTTGGATTACTACTGGCATACAGTGCCACGTCAATTTTTGAGTGCCACGTAATACATTTTTTAATGGTACTGTGACGGCAAATTAAAATATTAGGTTTTTCACGGGTTTTGAAAAGTTAAAGGTGTGAATAAAGATGAAAAATTTTAAAAGGTGTTAACCACAGAAAAGAATTAAATGGAGGGTGTAAATAGGTGCTTTGGCCAATTTTATTCACACTTTTGTTTTTTTGAATGGCATAATAAATTTTTAAAAGACAAGTTAAACGGATACACAGTCACACTTTCAAGATTCGAAGTGGACGTACAAAACGACGGTAGTATAAATTGCCTAGATAACGTCCTTGAGTTTATTGGTGCAGCTCAACCAACTCCTCCACTCAATTAAGTTCCTTAATTGATCCCAAAACTTTCACATCAAATTCTATTTTAGGTTCAATACTTTGAGTCAATGAAATCAGAGAAGTGAACGTCATATGCCATCAAATTTAATTGACAGTACTTTCATCATTTTTTTTTTTTTGCTAGGTCTTCAAAATATTATAACAAAAAAAAATATAATTTAATTTGTACTACATAAACTAGTTAATAAAAAGATAAACTTTTTAATATTAAAAATTATTTTTTCATTCAGTAAATTATATTTTACTGTCAAAATGCCAAAACCTCTCTAGGAGCTCAATTTTCCTACTGCGTTATGGTTTTCCAAAATATCCCGTTAACATAAGTCAACTTAGGGTATCTTAGTATTTCATCCAAATTTTTTATCTCTATATGTGATTTTAAAAAGATTAAAACTCCATTTTAGTCCCTAAATTATTGTATAGAACCCCAATTTGATCTCTAAACTAAAAAAAATCCCTCATTTAGTCCCTACTATTTACCATTTTAGCTCCGATTGGTCCTTTTGTGAAGTTTTTCTTGACGTGACATGTTAGTTAACATAGATGCATGTCTTTTCAATAAATCGAATTTATAACGTAGCAAAATAGATGATTTGGAAAAAAAATTGGCTAGGAAATCCCTAAACATAATAAAATGACTATATTACCCTTATCTTCGACCTTTAAATCCTTTCATTTTCTCTCTCCCTTCCCAACACTAGATCTGGGTTTAGTGAACCATATTTCTCTCT